TTTTTTTTTTTTCCCCCTTTTTAAAGGAAAACTTTTTAATTTAAAAAAAAAAAGGGGGGGAAAAAAATTTTTAAAAAAGGCCCCCCTTTTTTTTTTCCCCCAAAAAACGTTTTTTTTTTTTGGGGGGGTTTTCCTTTTTTTTTTTAAAAACCCCAAATAAAATTTTTTTTTTTTTTCCCAAAAAAAAAACCCGGGGGAAAAAATTTTTTTTCCCAAAAAAAAATTTTTTTTTTTTTGGCCTTTTCTTTTTTAAAAAAAATTTTTTAAAAAAGGGGTTTTTTTCCCCCCTTTATTTTTTTTTTAAAAACCCCCCCCAAACCCCCCCTTTTCCCCCCCCCGGAAAAACCTTTTTTTTTAAATTTTTTTTTTTTTAAAAAAAAAATTTTTTTTTTTTCCCCCCCCCCGGGGGTTTTTGGGGGTTTTTTTTTTTAAAAAATTTAAAGGGTTTTTTTTTTTTTTTTTTTTAAAAAAGGGGGTTGGTTTTTTTTTAAAAATTTTTCCAAAAACCCCCCTTTTCCCTTTTTTTCCCTTTTAAATTTTAATTAAATTTTTTTTTTTTTTTTTAAAATTTTAAAAATTTTAAAAACCCCCCTTTTTTTAAAAATTTTTTTTAAAAAATTTCCATTTTTAAAAACCCAAAAAAAAAAAAAAAAAATTTTTTTTTTAAAAACCCCCCTTGTTTTTTAAAATTTTCCTTTCCAAAAAAAACCCCCCCTTCCCTTTTTGGGGTTTTTTTTCCCCCCCTTTTTTTTTTTTGCCTTTTTTTTTTCCTTTAAAAAAACCCCGGTTTTTCCCTTTTAAAAATTTTTTTTCCCTTTTTTTTTTTTTTTTTCCCCCCCTTTTTTTTTAATTTTTTTTTTTTTCCCCTTTTTTTTTTAAAAACCCCCCCCCAAAAAAATTTTTTTAAAAAAAAAAAAAATTTTTTTTTTTAAAAAAAAAAAAAGGGGGGGGGGGTTTTTGGGGAAGTTTTTTTTTTAAAAAATTTTTTTTTTTGGGGGCCCCCTTTTTTTTTTCCCCCGGGTTTTTTAAAATGTTTTTTTTTTTTTGGGGGTTTGCCCCGGGGTTTTAAAAAAAAAAATTTATTTTTTCCCCCTTTTTAAAAAATTTTTTAAGTTTTTTCCCAACCCAAAAAAATTTTTTTAAAAATTTTGGAAAAAAAAATTTTGGGTTTCCCTTTTAAATTTTTTTTTTTTAAAATTTTTTTTGGGGGAAACGGGGCCCGGTTTTCCCTTTTTTTTTTTTTCCCCTTTTTTTTTTTTTGGGGCCTTTTAAAAAAAAGGGGCCCCCTTTTTTTTTTTTTTTAAATTTTTTTTTTTTCCCCCTTTTTTTTCCCCCCCCAAAATTTTTTTTTTTCCCTTTTTTAAAGGGAAAATTTTTTTTTTAAATCCTTTTTTTTTTTTCCCCCCTTCCCTTTTTCCCCCCCTTTCCCCCCCCCCTTTTTTTAAAAAAACCCCCCTTTTTTCCCCCTTTCCCCCCTTTTTTTTTTTGGGGGGAAAAAAACCCCCCAAGGGGAAAAAAAAGGGGGGGAAAAAAAAAAAAAAAAAGGGGGGGGGGTTTTAAAAAAAGAAAAAAAACCTTTTAAAATTTTTTTTTTTGGTTTTTTTTGGGGGGGGGTTTTTTTAAAAAAAAAATTTTAAATTTTTTTTTTTTGGGTAAAAAAACCCCAAAAAATTTTGGGGTTAATTTTTCCCCGGGGGGTTTTTTTTTAAAAAAAAACCCCGGGGGGTTAAAAAAGGGAAAAAAATTTTTTTGGGGGCCCCCCCCAAACCCCCCAAAAAAAAAACCCCCCCCCCCCCTTTTTTTAAAAAAAATTCCCCCCCCCTTTTTAAAAAATTTTTTAAAAAAAACCCCCTTTTTTAAAAATTTTTTTTAAAAAAAAAAAAAAAGGGCCCCAAAACCCCCCCCTTTTTTTTTTCCCCTGGGGGAAAAAGGGGGGGGGGGGGGAAAAAAAAATTTTGGGGGGGTTTTTTTTTTTAAAAATTTTTTAAAAAAATTTTTTTTAAAAAAAAAAAAATTTTTTTTTTTTTTTGGGGGAGGGGTTTTTGGGGGGGAAAAAAAAAAAACCCAAAAAAAACCTTTTTAATTTTTGGGGGGGGTTTTTAAAAATTTTTTTAAAATTTTAAAAACCCCGGGGTTTTTTGGGGGGGGGGGGGGGGGGGGGGCCCGGGGGGGGGGGGAAAAAAAAAAGGGGGCCCCCAAAAAGGAAAAAAAAAAAAAAAACCCCCCCCCCCCCAAAAAAAAACCCAAAAAACCCCCCAAAAACCCCCCCTCCCCCCAAAATTTTCCCCCCCTAAAATTTTAAAAAAAAAAACCCCTTTTTAAAAAAAAAACCCAAAAATTTTTTTTTTAAAAAACCCCCTTTTTGGTTTTTCCCTTTTTTTGGGGCCCCAAATTTTTTCCCCCCCCCCCTTTTTTTTTTTAAAAATTTTTTTAAAAATTATTTTAAAAAATTTTTTTTTTAAAAAAAAAAATTTTTTTTTTCCCTTCCCCCCCAAAATTCCCCAAAAAAAATTTTTTTCCCCAAAAATTTTTTTTTTTTAAAAATTTTTTTTCCCCCCCCCTTTAAATTTTTTCCCCCCCCCCAAACCCCCCTTTTTTTCCCCCCCCTTTTTTTCCCCCCCCAAAAAAAAAACCCCCCCCCCCCCCCCAAAAAAATTTTTTTTTTTCCCCCTTTTTTTTTTTTTAAAAAATTTTCAAAATTTTTTAACCCCCCTTTTTTTTCCAAACCCTCCCCCAAATTCCCCCAACCCCTTTTTCAAAAAACCCCCTTTTTCCCCCCAAAACCCCCCCCCCCCTTTTTGTTTTTTAAAATTTTCCCCCTTTCCCCCCCCCCCCCAAAAAAAAAACCCCCTTTTTTTTAAAAAACCCCCTTTGGGGACTTCCCCCCCCCATTTTTTTTAAAAAAAATTTTTTCCCCCCCCCCCGGGGGGGGTTTTTCCCCCCCCCCTTTTTTTCCCCCCAAAAAATTTTTTTCCCCCAAACCCCCAAAGGAACCCCTTTCCCTTTTTTCCCCCCGGGGTTTTTTTCCCAAATTTTAAAAAAAAAAAGGGTTTTTCCCCCCAAAAAAAAACCCCCCCCTTTTTTTTCCCCCCCCAAAAATTGGCCCCCCCCTTTCCCCCTTTTTTTGGGTTTTTTAAACCTTTTTTTTTTTTTTTTTTCTTTTTTAAACCCCTTTCCCCCTTTTCCCCCTTTTTTTCCCCCCAAAAAACCCCCAAAAATTTTGTTTTTTTCCCCCGGGCCCCCCCCCAAAAAAATTTTTAAAGGCCCTTTCCCCTTTTAAATTTTTTAAAAAACCCCAAACCAAAAAAAAAACCCCCTTTTTTTTTCCCTTTTTTTTCCCCCCAAAAAAATTTTTTTTTTTTTTTAAAAATTTTAACAAACCCTTTTTTAAAAAACCCCCCCAAAAAAAAAACCCCCAAACCCTTTCCCCCCTTTTCCCCAAAAAATTTAAAAAAAAAAAAAAAAATTTTTTAAAAATTTTTAAATTTTTTTTTCCCCCCCCAACCCCCCCCCCTTTAAAATTTTTTTTTTTTAAAAACCCCCCCCTTTTTTACCCAAAAAAATTTTTAAAAAAATTTTTTTTTTTTAAAAAAAACCCCAAATTTTTAAAAAAAAAATTTTTTTTTTTTCCCCAAAAAAAAATTTTTTTTTTCCCCCCTTTTTTTTTTTTCCCCCCTTTTCCCTTTTTTTTTTTCCCCCAAAAAAAATTTTTTTTTTAAAAAATTTTTTTTAAACCTTTTAAAAAAATTAAATTTGGGAATTTTTCCATTTTGGGGGAAAAAAAAATTGGAAAACCCCCAAAAAAATTTTAAAAAAAAAAATTTTTTTTTTTTTAAAAATTTTTTAAAAAACTTTCCAAAATTTTGGGGGCCCCCCCCAAAAAAAAAAATTTTTTTTTCCCCCCCCCGGGGAAAAAATTTAAAAAAAAAAAAAATTTTTCCCCAAAAAAAAAAAAAAATTTTTTTTTTTTTTTTTTTTGGGGTTTAAAAAAAAAACCAAAAAAAAAAAAATTTTTTAAAATTTTTTAAAAAAAAATTTTTAAATTAATTTTTAAAAGGGGGTTTTTCCCTTTTTTAAAAAGGGGAAAAAATTTTTTTTTAAAATTTTAAAAAAAAGGGGAAAAAAATTTTTTTTTTTTTTGGGGGTTTTTTTTTTTTTTTTTAAAATTTTTTTTGGTTTTTTTTTTTTTTTTTAAAAAATTTTTTTTTTTAAAAAAAAAAAAATTTTTTTTAAAAATTTTTTTTTTTTTTTTTTTTTAAAAAATTTTTTTAAAAAAAAAAAAATTTTTTTTAAAAAAAAAAAATTTTTTTAAAAAAAATTTTTTTTTAAAAAGGGGGGTTTTTTCCCGGAAAAAAAAAATTTTTAAAGAATTTTAAAATTTTTTTTGGGGGTTTTTTTTTTTTAAAAATTTTCCCCCTTTTTTTTTTTTAAAAAAAAAAACCCCAAAAAAAAAAAACCCAAAAAAAAAAAAAAACCCCCCCCCAAAAAAGGGAAAAAAGGGGGGGGGTTTTTTTTTTTAAAATTTTAAAATTTTAAAAAAAATTTTAATTTAAAAATTTTTTAAAAAAGGGTTTTTTTAAAAAAAAGGGGGAAAAAAAAAGGGAAAATTTTTTCCCAAAAAGGGTTTTTTAAAAAAATTTTTTAAAAATTGGCCCCAAACCCCCTTCCAAAAAGTAAAATTTTTTCCCCTTTTTTTAAAAAGGGGGCCCAAAAAAAAAACCCGGGGGACAAATAAAATTTTGGGGGGGGGAATTTTTTTTTAAAAAAAGGGGGGGGGAAAAAAAAATTTTCCCCCCCCCCCAAAAAAAAGGGAAAATTTTTTTCCCCTTTTTTTTAAAAATTTTTTTTGGTTTTTTTTAAAAAAAAAATTTTTTTTTTTTGGGGGGTTTTTTTTTTAAAAAACCCCCCCCCCAAAAAAAAACCCCCCCTTGCAAAAAAAAACCCCCCTTTTTTTTTTTCCCCTTCCCTTTTTAAAAAAAGGGGAAATTTTTTTTTTCCCCCAAAAAATTTTTTTTTTTGGGGGTTTTTTTTTTTTTTAAAAAAAAATTTTTTTAAAAAAATTTTCTTTTTTTTTAAAAAAAAAGGAAACCCACCCCCGGGGGTTTTTTTTGGGGGGGGGGCCCCTTTTTTTGGAAAAAAAACCCCTTTTTTTTGGGTTTTTTTCCCCCGGGGGGGGCCCCCGGGGGGGGGGGGGAAACGGGGGTTTTCCCCCCCCCCCAAAAAAAAATTTCTCCCGGGGGGGGGGGGTTTTTTCCCCAAAAAAAAAATTTTAAATTTTTTTTTTTCCAAACCCCCCCCCCCTTTTTTTTAAAAAAAAAAGGGGGGGGTTTTTTTTTAAACCCAAAATTTTGGTTTTCCCCCAAAAAATTTTTTTTGGGGGGGCCAAAAAAATTTCCCCCCCGGGTTTTTTTTTTTTAAAAAAAAATTTTCCCCTTTAAGGGGGGGGGGGGGTTTTTTGGGGGGGGGTTTTTTTTTAAAATTTTCCCCCGGGGGGGAATTTTTTAAAAATTTTTTTTTCCCAAAAAATTTTTCCCCCAAACCGCCCCCCTTTTTTTTTTTTTTTTTTTGGGGGGGGGTTTTTTTTTTCCCAAATTTTTTTTTAACCCTTTTTTTTTTGGGGGGTTTTTTTTTTAAAAAAAACCCCCCTGGGGAAAAAATTTTTTTGGGGGGTTTTTTTTTTTTTTTTTTTGGGGGGGTTTTTTTCCCCCCCCTTTTTTTTTTCCCCAAAAATTTTTAAAAAAAATTTTTTTTAAAACCCCCCCCCCAAATTTTTTAAAATTTTCCCCCAAAAAAAAATTTTTTGTTTTTTAATTCTTTAAAAATTTTCTTTTTTTTTCCCCAAAAAACTTTTTTTTTTTTTGGGGGGGTTTTTTTTAAAAAACCCCCTTTTTAAAAAATTTTTTCCCCTTTTTTTTTTTTTTTTTTTTTTTTAAAGGGGAAAAAAAAAAAAAGGGGGGGGGGGGGGGGGGGGGGGGGGGGGGGGGGAAAAAAAAAAGGGGGGAAAACCCTTTTCCCCAAAGGTTTTTAAAAATTTCCCAAAGGGGATTTTTTTAAAAAGGGGGGGATTTTTTTTTTTTTTTTTAAATTTTTTTTTTTTTAAAAGGGGGTTTTTTTTTAAAAAAAAATTTTTTTGAAACCCCGGGAAAGGGGGGCCCCCTTTTTTTTTTTTTTGGGGGAAAGGGTTTTTAAATTTTGGGGGGGTTTTTTAAAAAATTCCCCCTTTTAAAAATTTTTTTTTTGGAAAAATTTTTTCCATTAAATTTTTTTTAAAAGGGTTTAAAAAATTTTTGGGGGAAAAAAAATTTTCCCTTTTTTAAAAATTTTAGGGGAAAAAAAATTTAATTTTTTTTTTTTTTTTTGGCCCTTTTAATTTTTTTAAAAAATTTTAACCCCCCCAAAAATTTTGTTGTGGGGGGGGAAAAATTTTTTTTTTTTGGGGAAAAAAGGGTTTTTTTTTTTTTTTTTTTTTTAAAAATTTTTATTTTTTTTGGGGGGGTTTTTTTAAAAATTTAAAAAAAAATTTTTTTTTTTTTTAAAAAAAATTTTTGGGGGGAAAAATTTTGGGGGGTTTTTAAAATTTTTTAAAATTTTTTTTTTTTTAATTTTTTTTTTAAAAAAAAAAAACCCCTTTTTTTATTTTTTAAAAAAAGGGTTTTTTTTTTCCCCAAAAAATTTTTTTTGGGGTTTTTAAAAGTTTTTTGGGGGGGGAAAAAAATTTTTTTGGGGTTTTTCCCTTTTTGGGGGCCCGTTTTTTTTTAATTTTTTTTTTGGGGGGAAATTTTTTTTTTTTTTTTTCAAAAAAAATTTAAAAATTTTTTTGGGGAAAAAAAGGAATTTTTTTTTTTTTTTCCTTTTTTTGGGTTTTTTAAAAATTTTTAAAATTTTTTTAAACCCTTTTTTTTTTTTTTGGGGGGGTTTTTTTTTTTTTTTTTAAAAAAAATTTTTTCCCTTTTTTTTTTTGGGGGGGTTTTTTTTGGGGGAAAAAACCCCCCCAAAAAAATTTTTTGGGAAAAAATTTAAAAAGGGGTTTTTTTTTTTTAAAAATTCCCCTTTGTTTTTTTTTCCCCCTTTTTTTTTTGGGGGAAAAAAAAAATTTTTTGGGGGTTTTTTTTTTCCCCCCCCCTTTTTTTTTTTTTTAAAAAAATTTTTAAAAATTTTTTTTTTCCCTTTTTTTTTAAATTTTTTAAATTTTTTTTCCCCCTTTTGGGAAAAACATTTTTTTTTTTTAAAAATTTTTCTTTTGTGGGGGTTTTTTCAGGATTTTTTTTTTTTTTAAAAATTTTTTTGGGGGGAAATTTAAAAAAAAATTTTTTAAAAATTTTTTTTTGGGGGTTTTTTTTAAATTTTTTTTTTTGGGGGAAAAATTTTTAATTTTAAACCATTTTTTTTTTCCTCCTTTTGGGTTTTAAAAAAAAATTTTTCCCTTTTTTTTTTTTTCCCTTTTTCTTTTTTTGGGGGGGGGGTTTTTTTTGGTTTTTTTTTTTTGGGGGGGAAAAAAAAAAAATTTGGGGAAATTTTTAAATTTTTGGGCCCCGGGGGGGGGGTTTTTTAAAACTTTTTTTTCCTTTTTCCTAAAAAAAATTTTTAAATTTTCCCTTTTTTTTCCAAAAAAAAACCCCCCCTTTTTTTTTTTGGAAAAAAAAGGTTGAAAATTTTTTGGGTTGGGGTTTTTTTTTAAAAAAATTTTTTTTTTTTAATTGGGGGGGGAAAATTTTTTTTTTTTTTTTTTTTTTTTTTTTCCCTTTTTAAATTTTTTTAAAACGGTTTTTTTTTTAAATTTGGTAATTTTTTTTTCATTTTGGGTTTTTTAAAATGGGGGTTTTTTTTTTAATTTTTGGGCCCCCCTTTTTTTTTTTAAAAAAATTTTTTTTTTTTAAATTTTCCGGGTTTTTTTTTTCCCAAAAAAAAATTTCCCAAAAATTTTTTCCCAAAAGGGGTTTTTTTGGGGTTAAAAAAATTTTTACCCTGGCCTTTTTTAAAAATTTTTTAATTCCTTTCCCACGGGAAAAATTTTTCCCCCCTTTTCCCTTTTTTTTTTTAAAAACATTTTTTAAAATTTTTTTAAAAATTTTTAAAAAAAAAAAAATTTCTTTTTTCCCGGGGTTTTTTTCGGGGCCCCCCTTTTTTTTTGGGGACCTTTTTTTTTTTTTTAAAAAATTTTTTTTTTTGGGGTTTTGTTTTTTTTTTAAAAAATTTTTTAAATTTTTCCTTTTTAAAAAATTTTGGGGGTTTTAATTTTTTGGATTTTTTTTTTAAAATTTTTTTTTAAAATTTTTTTAAAACCCCCAAAAAAAAAATTTTTTTAAACATTTTTTTTTTTTTTTCCCCCTTTTTGGGGGAAACCTTTTTTTTCCCTTTTAGGGTTTTTTTTTTTTGGGGGGGTTTTTTCCAAAAAAATTTTTGGGAAAAGGAAATTTTTCCCCTTTTTTTTTTTTGGGTTTTTTTTTTTTTTTCCCTTTTTTTTTGGGGGGGGTTTTTTTTAAATTTTTTTTAAAAAAAAATTTTGGGGGTTTTTAAAAGTTTTTTTAAAGTTTGAAAACTTTTTTTTTTTGGGGTTTTCCAAAAAAACCCTTTTTTTTTTTTTTGGGGTTTTTTTTTAAAAATTTTTTTTTTTAAAAATTTTTTGGGTCTTTTTTTGGGGGGTTAAAATTATTTTTTAAAATTTTTTTAAATTTTTAAAAAAAAAAAAAATTTTTTTTAAAAAATTTAAAAAAAAATTTTTTTAAAAATTTTTTTTTAAAAAAAAAAAAAATTTTTAATTTTTAAAAAAAAAATTTTTTTTTTTTTTTTAAAAAAAAAAAAAAAAAACCCCCCCAAAAACACAAAAAAAAAAAAACCCCCCCCCCAAAAAAAAAAAAAACCCCCCCCCAAAAAAAAAAAACCCCCCCCCCCCAAAAAAAAACCCCTTTTCCCCCCCCCCAAAAAAAAAAAAAAAAAAAAAAAATTTTTTTAAAATTTTTTAAAAAAAAAAATTTTTAAAATTTTTTTAATTTAAAAAAAAAAATTTTTTAAAAATTTTTTTTTTAAAAAAATTTAAAAATAAAAATTTTTTTTAAAAAAAAAAAATTAATTTTTTTAAATTAAAAAATTTTTAAAAAAATTTTTTTTTAAAAAAAAAAAAAAAAAATTTTTTTTTTTTAAAAAAAAAAAAAAAAAAAAATTTTTTAAAAAAAAAAAAAATTTTAAAATTTTTTTTTTTAAAAAAGATTTTTTTTAAAAATTTAAAAAGTTTAAAAAATTAAAAAATTAAATTTTTTTTTTTAAAAAAAATTTTTTTTTTTTAAAAATATAAATTTTTTTGGGGGGGTTTTTAAATTTTTTAAAAAAAAAAGGGGGGGGAAAATTTTTCCCCCTTTTTAAAATTTTTTTTTTTTTTTTTTGGGGGGGTTTTTTAAAAACCGGGGGGTTTTTTTTTTTGGGGGTTTTTTTAAAAAAACCCTTTTTTCTTTTTTTTTTTTTTTTTTTAAAAAATTTTTTTAAAATTTTAAAAAATTTTTTAATTTTTATTTTTTTTTTTTGGGGGTTTTTAAACCCCGGGAATTTGGGGTTTTAAAAAAATTTTTTAAAAAAAAATTTTTAAAAAAATAAAAATTTTAAAAAATTTTTAAAAAAATTTTTAAAAAAAAAAAAGGGGTTTGGGGGGGGGGTTTGGGGGGGGGGAAAGGGGAAAAGGGGGGGGGGTTGGGGTTTGGTTTAAAATTAATTTTTAAAAAAAAAAAAGGGGGGTTTTTGGGGGAAATTGGGGGGGGGAAAGGGGGGGGGGGGAAAAATTTTTGGAAAAAAAGGGAAAAAAGGGGGTAAAATTTTAAAAAGGGGGGGAAAGGGGGGGGGGGTTTTTTTAAAAAAAATTTTTTTTTGGAAAAAAAAAAAAATTTTTTAAAAAAAAAAGGGGGAAAAATTTTTTAAAAACCAAAAAAAAAAAAAATTTTTTTAAAAAAAAAAAAAAAAAAAAAAGGGGTTTTTTGGGAAAAAAGGGGGGGGTTTTTAAAAAGGGGAAAAGGGGGTTTTTGGGGGGGGTTTTTTGGGTTTTTTGGGGGGGGAAAAAAAAAATTTTTTTTGGGAAAGGGGGGGGGGGGGGGTTTTTTTTTAGGGGGGCCCGGGGGGGGAAAAATTTGGGGGGGGGAAAAAAGGGGGGTTTGGGGGGAAAAGGGGGGAAAAAAAAAAAGGGGGGGTTGGGTTTTTTTTTTGGGGGGGTTTTTTTTTTAAAAATGGGGGGGGGGAAAAAAGGGG